ATGTGCAACAAATTATTGATAACTGTATTGTTATCGGGAGCTGAGCTTCCCTAAAAGTTTCAGAACGCTAGCTAGTGGGAAAGTTGGTGAAATATCGATTGCAAGATTTGATCATCACAGACGGACACGAAAGCTAGCTAAGAAAAACGCGGTAAAAAAGCAACAGCACTGCAAGTCACAGCCACCGCTCAAGCAAGCTTGCTCATATGCAGGTAGAAACGCAACTGACCTAACTAACCTATTACTCACGTAACATGTTACCTCGACTCTCAATCCTAAACAAACCTGACCGGACATAGCATAACGTAGTTGGCTGCGGGAGAGAGGGTGACGGGGCAAGTGAGCATTCATAGCCGGTCATTAGCTGCAAGACGGGGAGAAACTGAGTAGGTGAGACAAGTACTCCTGCTTGAGAGCGAGCGTGCTTAAGCTGTTGGGCGGTTTATGGACTAAAGCAGTGTGGAACTGATCCGACTTACGGTTTTGCAGCATCGTCTGCGGCTTTCGTCTCGGAAGAGGCTGAGTGTAGCACGCTCCACAGGGCGTCGCTGGTAGCAGAAGACTATAGCTTCTGCGTATAAATGCTTGGTGTACAGAATTGATAAGTCCATTGGCCTGCTGCATCCTACTTTAGTCAGCATGTCAGCTACCACATAAATATTGACGTCGTCGGTGTTGACTCATGGCAGTGGATGGAATGGGCCAGAGGAACACAATGGGGAGAAAGGGGGCTCAGATGGAGTCCTTCAGTAAGCAAGGTTTCGTGTAACTCGAGGATAACGAGCATCTTGCAACACGAACACACACACTGAGTCCCAGACCAAAAACGTTAGGAATGAGATGACTATTAAGAAACGGCTATTATTGAGTCACTTCTTCTGGTTGCAGTTGCCAGTTCGATGGTCACGCGTTCTTTCGTGATGCTGGGCGCTTCTGGGCAGTGCGGCAGCACTTCCTCGTTTCGCAAATTTGTGTTATTTTTCTGTATTTGTTATCACCTGATTTTGAAGTCGATTACAAGTTCAATAAAGTAATACAATCCATTTTCTATAATTCCTAGAAAGACGAATAATGTAGGTAGAATAACTTATACTCAGAGGTGGCAGTAGCGCGCTACATGTAGCGGCCGCTACATTTTCAGTAGCGGTGCTACATTTAAGCAATTGTAGCGGTAGCGCCCGCTACATTTAGAGCATGCAGCGGTAGCGACCGCTACATTACAAAGTAGCGCTGCCCAGCTCTGCTTATACTCGTACCGATTGGCCCGCAGATGGAGATGCCCAATTCTCACACGTGCACAAGCAGCCTCATTCCTTCTGAAAATCCTGCCTATTTATTCTGTGGTTAAAAATATATTTAAATATAAATATTTCTTCACGTACTTTATCAGAAAAATAAATAGATTCGATGAAGACTCCAGATAAATTGTTCCTGCCAGCCAGTGCCTGGACAGTTATGAGTGGCCACTGGATTTGTCAGCCAGGACCCTTTAAGAAGAGAAAAAATAGCAACACCGCTATCTCTCACTCAAAGCACAAAAAGTTTCTTTCAATAATAATGAGTAATTTAAATCATTTATGCCCTGATATATGGTTTTATTCGATTTGGAGAACAGGCACAAGAGGAAGATGTTCCAGCCATGTTGAGACTCGTGTTCTAGATCTCACCTGCACAATTTAAGTTTCATACATGGAAAAATTCATTACAATTCACGTCTTATTAAAAATGTCTCTTCAAATAGCAGAAGAATTTCTTACCGCCCATGAAGGCAAGTTTTGAGTCATTTGCCAGAGAATAGCTAACAAATTCGCAAATGCCCAACGTAGCTAAAGGTGCTGCGAAAGAAAGGTAAATAATCGAGTGCTCACAACGAGCAAGCAGCCAAATGTACTTCGTTAATTAAACATTGCTATCCGATATTGACTTGCCTTCTCAGCAGTCATCGGAAGAAATCTCGTCCACTTATAAAAATTGTATTCAGAAGCGGTCGAGATTGTCATCACCGTTGCTTAGACCTTGCATTAAAAAGTTGCACCAAATCTAGCGGGGAAGCCAAATGCGTGTTAGTAAGGCTTGAAAAATATTTTCTTCTATAAGAATCTATATATTGAATGAAAAGTTAATTTTTATTTGCCGCGAAACTACATCCAACTTCGTTCATTGAGCAAACTGGCAAGATGAAAATCAATAAATGCAAAAGGCAAATAATAACCAGGTAAAAATATCATAATATCTAAAAACTCGCAAATCCACAGTAAATGCAACGGAAAGGCGAAAGAATACCACAACAGAAATACTTGCCAAATACTAATGATACTTAGTAATCACGTTGAACCACACCCACCACAATAATCAGTTAAACCATACTCTTCGTGCTGCATCAACGACTTCATCTGCTTAATTTTGATACTATTTAAGAGAAGGCAATCCTGCTAGTATGTTAGAACCACTCAAATAACAAATGAACAATAATATAACAAAACTAGTTACTAAATATTCAAAATAAACCATGGTTTGTCAGAGTATCCGTTTGGAACCCAGGCCGAGGCCATGTCACGCAAAATTAACATGAATGACAGTGATGATCAGCAATTCTTATATCATTTGTTTTCCAATTTAATAAACGAACAGTGCACTTGGAACAAAAAATATCGTTTGTCAGAGCAGTTTATGCTGGCACGAATCCTTGTCAAAATGATGGCTAAAAACGATCAAACCACAACACACAAACTATCCGCAATAAAATCAGAATGTACTGAATATTAATTGATGTGAAGTTAAGCGTTTCTTCGACGAACGTTAGCCAACTACAAAAGCCTAGTGTTGTCAACAACTAAGAACTAAATCGAACCGAGAGAGCGCGAGTGAAACTGCGTTCCGTCATAAAAGTTTGTTTCAACTACGCCAAGGCTTTAACTCAGCGTAGTTAGGTTGTTTTTTTTTTTTGTCAACGTTAACTAACTTAGCCCTATACGTTTGATGGATGTACAAATAAAAATTGCCCCAAATCGACTTTTTATATAAAATCCAATCGCAAAACCTTATATTTGTACCCTCAAGGCACTCTTAGTAAATGGGAGATTTTAGCTATCGCTTCTAGGGCCAGAGAATCATTTATTGACTCGTATCGAAGGCGTTAATTCTGTCATGTTCAGTTATTACAGTAGTAATACAGTGGCCGGAAACCGGGAAGCGCTCTAGAACAAGCTGGTTTGGACCAAGACTAAAAAATGCTCATAGCCAAGGTGGACCAATGTGATCATCACAAATTTCCACTGTATAAATGAGACGGAAAGTTTAAAATGACCATTGCGATAAGCCGGCATAAACACAGTATCTCGAGACGCAAAGAACGGACAAATCAACAGCAACGAGAACGAGGACACTTGTACAAGAGGTAGATTGCGTCAGACGTTGGCACACGTACGAGAGACAGAGAAAGAGAAGGCAAAGCAACCTGCCTACATAATCTGAACACCATATCCGACCTGTCTACGCAATAATATAACAGTACATCAGACGTACCTATATAATAACTTAGCCCTCTAACTAAGAAACCCTTAAAACTCTTGAAGAGAAATATCGCATCACAGAAAGTCCCACTGGCGGACACTAAGTAACAGAATTCGAGCATTGCACAGATAAAGCTAGAAAAACGAAGCATGTTCATTGTTTTATCGCCTAGACCATGTGAACAACATCACTTAACCAACGTTCATACATACAAAATAAGGCTATGTAAGAGACAACCAGTAGGCTGCAATGGATCAATTATATATCTCATGCACGACACTATTGCTCAAGATAGAAAAACAATTTAAAGAGGCTTTTTTGTAAAACGCAAACGCCACGGTCAATCAGATGAGTAACAAATAAATATGTCTAAAATATTAAATATACCTAGTTAATATTACAATTTATAAAGAAATTCAAATTTATATTGAATAACAGCCAGACAACAAAATTAGACCAGTCTGTCGAGCACAAAAGATGCCTAGTTTTTGTTTCGAAGAGATAAAAGATGGCAATTGCAATTCTTTACAAACAGTTCAACCACAATTTTCATTTTTTCCTTTTAGGAGCTCGTACAGGTATTCATTTATTTTTACTTAGTTGTAAGTTGAATAAAATAATAATTGCCCATTCTCGTTTCAAATTTGGTTTTAAAGTTCACAACCGTTAGAAACTTGACCTAATGAAGCGATTGATGAACCGCTTGCGCACCTTCGGATACATCAACTGCCGTGTGACTCATGTTGACGATTGAGACATCCACTAGTACTAAATCCCGTACTTCAACAGGCCTTGGTCATGACTAATTCTGTTAATTAATTTTGTTCCTTTTCGTCCATTGAGGACTTCATCATGACTTCATGGACTTCATCAGAAGCTGATAATGCAAGGAGAATTTTATTCAGTATCAAGACATGTTTAGTCAGTCTTCAGAATCAAGAATATAAACATGTCGTTGGAGAAGGTATTAACAATTACGAGTATAGTATAAAATCTGCACAATGCTACACAACAAAAAGGTAAATAATAGTTTAAAGTCGACTACTTAAAAACGGTTTAGTTGTATTTCAAGCACTAAAAGCAATCTAATCCTATTTTAAGTCAAGCCATCGGTTGATATTTTGCACTAGAACGATGATGAGTGGTTGCCACGCTAGCATCAATCGCACCCAGTCCACCATCTGTCCGAAGAAGACGTGTGGCTTCTCCCAGTAGTTGACCATGCGGTTCATATCAACCTAGAACAGGAACATATAACATTAGTGACAAAAGAGAATAATTGTGGTTTTCTGATACAATATTATGCACATAAACTTTGTGAGTAATGTCTAGATCCCAGCAAGATGACATTGTGCTTGATATTAAAAAAAAACATTCGCGGCACGGGCGCGGCTACGTACTAGATGAATTAAAAATATATATATACATGCATAATTAGAACACACTTTTTCTTTGCAGTAGGGGCAGGTGTGCTTCTTGCCCACAATACACCAGCCACGAATGCAGAACTCGTGGAAAGTGTGTCCACAATTAAGACGCAGTGTGTCCTCTATGACACCCTCCTCCCCCTCTGGCACCAGCTGCGGGTTCCCACAGATGGCACAGATGCCATGCTCTAAGGTACGTGTGGGCATTCCCTCCGGCTTGTAGTACTGCAATAACACAAATCATATAGCTCAAATTTAACATATAAAAAAAATTTAGGTGTATTCTCTGGCAAGTTGCATCCATAACAGCCCCAGCTATGAATGCATTTGTCAAACACAGTATAGAAGTTACATATAAATAAGAATAAGTTTTTAGCTCAGAATAGAATTCTTTCAACGTCGCATTGGTACAACATTTTAAATGAAATTTCAGGAACTCACTCCAATGTGTGCTGCCATTTTGTCAGCACAGACTTCAGCCAGATCTCTGCCGAGCACCCCAAAGTAGATGCCATAGAAGAGGAACATCAGGGAGTAGTCAAACATGGTGATGGGGGACAAGCGGAATAGTGCAGGTAAGCCCATCACTGTCATCATTACCAGGGCATAGCCTGTCACTGACAGGAATGTGCACAGTTTGTGCACTGCTAGGAACCATTTGTACACCTGTCTGAAAATGAGAAAGTGTTGATGACTCGTCATTCAGCAGCCCTTTCTTTGAAATCATGCTCAAGTGAAAGTTGAACTTGAATTTCAAGTTGAAAGTTGAAATTTCAAGAAACATTGGATCATAGGATGTCAAGTACCTACTCTTGGGTAATCTGAGAAATAAAAACCATTCAATTTTTCATCATCTACTACATTTCCTGATGAGTAAATTAGATTACTATGACTGAATGAATGAATTCACTTAGTAATATTTATCATATAGGCATCAACAGCTAGAATTCAAGCAATATCTTAATCTGATGTGCTTTTATTTTTCAGAAAAGAAAAAGGCTCAATTAACAACATCATATTTACTCAAGATACTTCAATATTAGCCTTTCTATAAAATTGCCAGTTACACAATAACCATCAGGAAGTGGGAATAAATTTGTTTGAACTTGTTCAAGTAAGAAAACGTGGACATCAACTGTTTCTATCTCTTATAAGGACATGTAGTCTCAGTATCAAACACACTAAAATGAATGAATGAGAACTCAACCAGACAAGTAATTTTGAAGAATGATGAGAAACTTATTTCATGACATCAGAAGTAGAGGCAAAACCAACCTGGGCGTAGTGGGCTGTAGTGGACGTTGCATGGCACTCCGCATGACCAGCCCAGTGATGCATGTAAACACAAGCCACCAGAAGACAAACACCCACCATTGCAGGTTCAAGCACACAATGAAGGGGGCCAGCCACACCCCAACCATGCTCACTTGCTGTAATATGAACATGGTTAGAGAATTCTTAACACATTCCCAAATGTTCACCTACTACAGAATTTGTTCAGTTTATCCACTAATAGTAAATTTGCAATCATGATTAAGTAGAAATTGGATTAACAATTATGATAGTAAAAGCATGAGAAAATATATATTAAATTTAAAAATATATACCACTGCAATCACAACAAAATTTGGAAAATTACCTGATAAGTTTTGAAATGAGTTTTTTTCCAGATGACAAGGGCAACATGTGCAATTAAGGTCACAATGAAAAGTACCAAGACCATTTCTGCATGCATGCTGTCATGGCCTTCATGCTGAACATGTAGTCGCAAGTGGTTTAACCTGGCAAAAATGGGAAATTAGGCATGAGTTGGTATAAGTTATAGTAACAAATTAATTTCACATGTTCAAACATAGCCTCAGAAACACAGTACAGCAGATAAACATGCCAGATCATCGGCCCAGATGACAAGTTTCAATAAAATATAAATCATTGTAAGCATAATCTTTGTAATTCAAAAACTAGTAATTCTTAGCAAGATAAAAGATGCAGCTGCTATCAAATGACTGGTAATCCTTACCTTGCTCGCATATCTGGTGCTAGAGCAGCCTCTTCCTGAGTCTGAAAGTGAGAAAATTCATGTGAATAACTGAGCATACTATGTAATTGTTACAATCACTTAAAAATCTGTTGTTTTTTGCTGGCTTTGAAATAAACAGTTGAATTATAGTTAATGTATAAAATCAAGTTATTTACATAATAACATAATTGCTAACAATAAAATAAATGGTTAAATAATGGCAAACAAAAACACAAATTTTGGGCATTGATTTTTATATGTGGTTCTCTATTTTGATACTGAAAACCCTAAGGTCTTGGCAATACGTTGTGGAACTACAGCAATCTTATGACAAATTTCTAAGGATTAGACCAAATTATGGCATGTTAGAGTTGCAGTAATTTGTTCAGACTTATTCCATTGAAAAAGCAAAATGAGTACCACATGCTCCAATCAGAGACACTTCAACTGCCATTCATTTCAGGAAATAAGTGAAACAATAGATCCTAGACAAAAGTTGGTACTAACCCAATTAGGACAAATCTTATTTCTATAGCCACAACTTTGCTAAGAATTAATTTATAAAGCAGTAGAGTATTCAAGTTCAGCCTCTGGCTATTTGAAATCATAAAAAATTGTTAACATAATTTGAAATTCACATTCACTGGTCTGAGTAGCTGCAAAATTCATGCCAGAAGTTGAAGTCTTCAGCACAAGGCTGAAGACTTCAACTTTTGCTGAAGACTGCAGCACAAGGCTGAAGACTTCAACTTTTCAAGGCTGAAGACTTTTTTTTGGTGTTTGGCACCTGGGGCGTGCATTTTTTCTAATTTTGAAGCATGTCACAGGTTGAGAAAATGACCATATAACTTCCTATACATTGCGTACTTCTTCCTCACTATGGAAGAAGTTGATAACATTAGCACAGGCAGTGGCTGCAAGCAGATGAATGTTGTGTTCAGTTTAATACCAGCTTTCCTCCCTTCGCAACTTGTGTCAGTGTATAATTGTGATACCTTCTTATTGAAAAATATGTTGTTAGTTGTTAAAAACAAGTACTTTTTGACCAGAAGGACTTTACTTTAATGCTATTTGATGCTGAATGTTGAGCCTTAACCCTCACCAGAGGCAACCATCAGAGTTATGACAAATTGTTGACAGCTTGAATCACATCCCAAATATACCTGACTGACACAGTCTTTGTTAATGTAAAAATGTGCTTCAGACAGAGAGAACTATAGTATTTGTGTGATATTCAGTATATTCAGCTTACAAGATGCACTGCAGAGGTTCCATTACAGCATTGTGATACTTAGCAAACACGAGTAGAATGTGGCTGCTATTATGGCACTGTTTGCTTGATTGTTAAAATAAATGCTTCGTCTGCAGTCAGCTGCTGCAGCTCTTGATTCATTTGTCTGCAAGAGAGCTGATTTACTTATCATGCTGCCCCCAAATCTTGAATATCTTATCTGGATGCTGTGCTGGACAAAATAGGCATAAATGGTGCCTGACCCACCATTTTCAAACTGCTGTGTGTTAGGGGTTGACTGCATCCCATTGACTTGTATTGCTATCATAATCTCTTTTCCTGGACTGGTTGTTGTTGCACACAAGTTTTCAACATTTTCACCAAACTTGCTACTCATTGATTATGTTCTTATTGCAGGTGATTTAAATCTTTTAGTGGATTGCAATTGCACAGACAACCCATAGGTGGAGTTAGCTGCTGTCCACCTTCATCAAGAAGAACTAAGGCATGTCCTGGGCAGACTGCTGGATGTTATCATGCGTGCTGCCCTTCCACTTCTGCCTGTCAACATAAACATTGCAATATCCAACCTCTGACTAGGTACTTCAGTTGACAGTGCCATGTGTGCTGCCTGCACCAGTGTAAAAAAACCATAACCCATCTTCCATGGCATGGGCTCAACACAGGGTTGGTGATTTTTTTATTTAAAAAAAAATAAAAAATGAAAAAAAAATCAATGATTTTTTATTTTTTCATGATTTTTTCATTTATTTGATTTTTTATTTTTTTCAGTTCTTTGTCTTTTTGAAAGGTTACTTTTTTTATGTTGCAATTAGCCTACTAACAATAACAGTACCATATGTGGATCATAATGGATGGCTAAAAAGGGCACTTATTGCCTTCAATAATGACCAACAGGCCAAGGTGGTGTTTACCACTTTGGGATTTTTGGGTAAACAATTATTGATAAGTCTATTCATTAGCTTTGTAAAGTTTGTATGGGGCAAGGTACCGAGCAAAATATTGACCATTTAACTGGTTTCAATATACAAAAACACTTCAGGAATGCAGATCTTCTGAACATTGAAGAGTCACATAACAGATACTGATAGGTAGCTGATAGCACAGTGCACAACACTGTCAATAGATCTACTAGTTTTATGTCATATAAATCTACCAGACTCTACCCTCTATACACACCAACTAGTAGTGACTGAGTGACTGACTGCACTGTTCCCATATAATTCAGACCAATAAACCAATACTAAACATAAACTGAACGATGACCAAACAAACCTCAAATGACTTGAAACGAGACTTAGGTTAACCCATTAAAGCCTATTGGCGACTTTAGTTGCCACCTCAAAAAAATGGTTGTATTATGCATAATATAAAGTAAATTTCAGTTTTGTTGTCCCACACCGCATCATATACATTCCATACGATAACTGAACAAGAATTGTTCACCTCGGTTGCTCCCCCTTCAGTCAGTTGACCTCTAAACTACATGCGGTCACTGTGTTTTTGATCAGGCCTGAACCGGCACACAGAAAAGGCAATGTTAAAATTATTAAAAGTAAATATTTTATAATTTTAAGTGTAGAAATCATGGATTAGGAGCCTAGTAATCAGACAAAATACATAAATGTCATTAAAGATTGATGTTAAAGACAATATAAGCTAAATCATGTATGGTGGCAACTGAAGTTGCCATTTGGCATTCGTGACATGTAAACTGTATTTTTGCATGAATGTGGTGTTAAAAGGTTGCCTCATGTTCTACATTTATTATAACAAGATAAGTTAACATCCAGTTGATAGAAAGGTATTTTAATGAAGTTTTATAGTTATATTTATATCATATATTTACATATATTCATACATATATGAATATATTTAGTATTTACCGTATATTCATATGCAAGTGAACTTTGCAAGAAAGCCCAGAATTTTACAATATATTGGTAGATTAGGATGGAAATGACAATGAAATTTCATTTGCAATTTATAATCCATGGAAAATGCTCATACAGAATTATACATGGATTCAGATGATTTTGATGATAAGGTTGCCCGAAAACCTGATAATTTGCCCAGATATATATTGAGGAGTCATGTTGTCAAATGATTATGAACAAAAGAAAAACCATCTTCAAAGAAGCAAAAATTAATTGTTTATAAATAGAGCAAAGATGAAGTGACTTCGTCAGTACCGAACTTTGAAAAGATTGACATGCTATTCAGTACTCTCTGACTGAGAAAAGTACCTCATTAGACGCAATGACTTACTTTTGTACTAACGAATGGATAAATCATTTATGTGAACAGAGCAAATTATATGCTCAGCAACAAAATCTAGTGTTATGAGATCAATCTTGCTAGCATGGGAGTATTTCTGCCTGTATTGCTTCTCTCTTGACACAATAAACTGCCTCATAGAAGGCTTTACTGGCCTGATTTGTTTCACCAACAATTAGAAACTTATCGGAACCAAAATTCACCCCAAAAAATTGTGGTGGTCCCTTTTCTGGGCTACCACCGTAGTTAGTGCCTAAGCTGTAAATGCTTGGAGACACTTCAATGCATGCGTTAACATTATTCAGTGGTTATTATTCATCAGGGATGTTAGTGGAGCCATAAAGACTCAGCCTTGTCAGGAAGTAAAGCGTGTCTAAATTTACATCACGTGTATCTGCTTAGACTATTGTCCTGATAACTACAGCAGACTACTGGATAGTGAAAGGAGAAACAATGTGTGCAAAATGTCACAACAGCAAAGGAAGGGCTGCATGCAATTGCGAATTATGCACTATTGCTCGACCTCCACATTGCATGAAAGTTATCCATACGATGTTTATTCATCTATGCCGCAGTGGTAGGGTAATCGATGATGTTTACCATTATAGATGTTATTGGCCCATTTTCTCCTGAGTTTATCAATGATTTAAATACTGAATGGATAAATCAGTCATCATTCCAAAATATTTGTTTCATTATTTCAATTTACGTACTATAGAAAATTTAGTTTCATTGACCCTACTCAATATTATTACTGTACATTACATGGAAGTTCACATTTCTTATCTTACTGCCGAATGGCAACTTTAGTTGCCAGGCCATATTTTCGCATTCATCTCCAATTTTTGTTTAATGAATGTTTTAATAGATTAACAATGACCAAATGAAGTATTCAAACTGAACAAAATATTTAATTTTCCCCCAAATAATTCTCGGCTTTAATGGGTTAAGAGAAAAGCTAACACTGTTTGAAATAAACATGTGCATAATTCAAACATTTTATTGCCATTCACTGCATTTAATTATTTTATATATAGTTTTATAATTGTAGTTGTTTTGTTTCTAGCTTAAATTCACATATTTGAAGATTGAAATTAAATATTTTAATTAGAATACTCGTATTAGGGTGGAAAATCTTTCTAATTGCCGAAAAGGTCAATACAATCTCAATCTCTCAATATAGTACTGGGTGGGGCAGAACTGATTGAGCAGTTTTGAGGCAAAAGAATAAAGAAATGGAGGTGTACATAAAGAAGAAAGTTTATTTTCCTAGAGGTTAGCATAGCATACCATTTAGAATACTTATGTTTTGAAAACAATATATGGAAGATGTCCGCCGTTAGCTGCAACACACTGTTGGAGTCGTTTTTGGAGGAGGGAGTAACAGTGACAGTGGATTCCAAATGCTATGATGCAATGTTGCAAAATTTCTAGCAGCCCAGGATGGAAAACATTGTTGAAAATGAAGCATTGGGAGATGTGTGGTTCCAGCAGGATGGGGCTACAGCTCAC